AAATGCAAAAATGTACTGAGATTACAGGGCTAAGGGCACACAAAAGAAGGTGTCATTTAAATCTAGCACTGAATACCAAATCCTTTCGAAGTTTAGGGTAGAGAGTAAGGTGTAGGGATTTGGCACCCCTGGGTGAATTTCCTCCATAGCTTCATTTACAGCTTGGAGGTCCTGAACTAGCCAGTATCTCTTGGTTGTTGTTTTTTTTTTTCACTGGCAGATTAGGAGTGTTGCAAGGAAAATGGCAGGGTCTAAGAAGCCCTTGTTTGAGTAGACTTTCTACTTAATGCCCGCTAGGGCTTCTTTGCTTAATGGGTATTGTTTTTTATTTGGGTGATTGTAGGCGGGTCGCAGCTTGACCATGACTGGTGGTGCCCTCCTGACTCTGCCCACAGTGTCGTGGGCCCATACTGAGGGATTAATCCGCAGAGGGTGGTAGCATGAGTGCTATGGAATGGAAGGGAGTCTTAGGTATTTTGATGTTAAGTTTTGTGTCTCTGAGATAAATTGTAGCTCCCAATTTATATAGTAAATCTCTTCCTCTTAGAGGAATTAGGCATTCCGGGACATACAGGAAAGAGTGAGATAACTTTTTTCCTTCCAAATCGCACTCAAGGGTACTCTATAATATTGCGTTCCTGGGGCTTCCCTTTCACTCCCATTATCTTACATTTATCTTTGGTCATTTTGCCTTGTTGGGTATTCAAGACCCAATAGGTGGCCTCTGTGTTGACTAAAATGTCAGCCTTTTTACCACCTATAGTCAGGGTCAGCCAAGGCTTCTTGGGGGTAATTTCTGGGGTGCTCCTAGGAGCCCCTGGGACCCTTCAGTCCTCTTCTTTTATGTGTGTGACCAATGAGGGTGGGCCAGGACATGGTGGTCCACTTAGTCTCCTTCTGAGACATTTGGGGCAGTTCCCCCTTCCAGTGGCCCTCCTCTATGCAGTTAGCACACTGATTGGCTTTAAGCCCTTCTCTCCACTATGGGCATGGTCTTTGAAATCCCAGGCGACTCATTGATGTTACAGGGTCCCTTGTGTGTGTGTGTGTGTGTGTGTGTGTGTGTGTGTGTGTGTGTGTGTGTGGTGTCATCCCTTGGAGGTCGATTAACCCTGAATTGCTAAAGCCAGAGAAGTGACAGTTTGTTCTGCTCGTTTATCTTCCTTTGTATCGGCCTCCAGATCCCGGCTGTTAAACATCCGAAATGTTGATTCCACCAGCCCGGAAGTAGGTGTGGTGGGCCCTGTCTCCAACTTTTGTAATTTTCTCCTAATGTCTGGGGCACTCTGGGAAATAAATGACCTGCCCTTCTAATGACACCAGGTTTATGTTTGTATACACTCGGAGGCACTCCCTTAGGTGCTCAAGGAAGGCTGAGGGATTTTCCTTCAGTCCTTGGATGACTCCTTGAACCTACTCCAGTTTATGAGTTTCTTCCCCGCTAACTGAATGCCCTTCAGAATCAAATTCCTGAAATGTGTGAGGTGCTGCTGACCATTTTCCTCTAGATGGCCCCACCCAGGGTCCGTGTTGGGAACAGCCTGGACTCCAGGCTGGTATACAGCATGGCCCGTGTTATTTTGATTGGTCTTAGCAGCTTCCTCCCTTGCATTAATTATAATCAGTACCTTTTCTTCCGCAGACAATAAGATGTTTAGGAGGGTTTGGGTATCCACTCAAATGGGTGTGCAGTATTCCCCAGACTAAATTAAGGACTCCCTCAGGGTCTTCCCTTAAACCCCTGGATCGATCCTTCCAGTTATAGAGATCCAAGGAAGAGAAGAGTACCTACACAGTGGTCAGTTCGCCCTTTGCATTGGGAACCGCCTGAAGCGGGAATAGCTTATTGATTCCAGAGGGCTGGTACTGAATGCTGCCACAGGTGTGCATTGGACTGGTCCCCAAGGAAGGTGTACTGAGAGATGGAGGTGAAAGAGTTGGGGAGGGGGACCTCCCATTGGGCGGAAGAGGGGGCACCAGCTAGGGAGGTGGTGAATTTGAGAGAGTAGAGAGTGTCGGGGATTCAAGAGAGGTAGGGGTAGATGTCAGTGACTCAGGAGTCTCAGGTGAACTGTTGGAAGCGGGTGCAGCTACCCTTAGCAGAGGGGGGAAGTCAAGAGGATCCTCAGGCTGAGATTCCAATTCCAGGAAAGAGAAATTTGAACTAGCCTCGCATTTTTTCCAGAAGCCCTTTATTTGGCTAAGGGCCATGAAAAATTGGACATAGGAGATCTCACCCCATTTTTTTTTTTTAACGCTGGCAATAGAGGTCAAATTAAAAAATAGTATTAGAATTTAGAGAGTCGTTAGTTGGCCGACTTTCTCCATCTGCCAGTTTACATTGGGGCCATGCAGTGTTACAAAAGAAAATAAGCTGTCTCCCTGTTAGTGGGTGCTACTCAAAGAATTTCCAGTTATGGAGAATGCACCTTGACAGCGTTCACTGGGGTAGAGGCTTGATTACCCATAGTGGGGAGTCCTTATTTCGTCTGTTTCCAACTTCCCAGTGGCCTCTTCTTAGGGTTGGTGGCTATGCAGATCCCATAAGATTGACCCACACCAAGTGGTTTAGGAGCTCTAACTGAAACCTGAACCAATCTTCGCAGGGGCTGGTAGGGGAGACACTGTCCAAGAGGGCCTTAGTTATAAAGTTCCCCCCCTTTTTTTTAACGTTTATTTATTTTATTTATTTGGTTGTGTAGGGTCTTAGTTGCGGCAGGCAGTCTCCTTAGTTGTGGCTCGCTGGCTTCTTAGTTTTGGCACGTGGCCTGCTTAGTTGTGGCTTGCAAACTCTTAGTTGCGGCAGGCATGTGGGATCTAGTTCCCTGAGTAGGGATCAAACCTGGGCCCCCAGCGTTGGGATTGCGGAGTCTTAACCACTGCGTCACCAGGGTAGTCCCTATAAAGCCCCTCTTAAGTCAGTGACTAGATGTTCCCAGACCCGCTGTGGGGCTGTAGGAGATATCTTTCAGCAAGCAGTCCCCAGAGATAGGGTGAAGGGGGAGTGGGAAATAAGGGTTCTCTAATCAGATAAATTGCTCAGATAAAGAGCCTCTCCGGTAGTCAGGGAGGCTTGTTCACAAAAAGTGTGTCCCTGCTCTGTTACAGGTAATCAGACAGGGAGGCCGAATGCCCATTTGGTATGTGTCCAGTTTTCTATACTCTCAGCTACGAGGACCCAAGGACTTTGGACACTTTGGGGGTCCTCTTCTTCCTTCCCCAACTAGACAAAGTGATTTTCCTGAAATCTGATGAAAACAAGATTTTTAAAGGGTTCATGTCTCAGAGGAGGGATCCCTAGGGATCTGTGGTGGAGGGTAGTGGGGAGGGACCTACCCAACAGAGACGTATACCTTGCCCCGGGATGGCAAGTTAGGGCAAGAGGAACCAACACAAAAAGTGTGCTCTTGGATTTTTGACTATACCCTAGAGGTGAACGCGGTAGAGGTTTGGGGCTGTGAATGTTTTACAGTGTGCCTGCTTACACGGACATTTGCTTCTGGTTGGCAGGGTACCCAGTGCTCATCTACGCTGGTGCATGACCAACTTATCCTTTTTGGTGGCAAACGCCATAGTGGCCTTCAAGTGCTCAACCCGTGCCCACAGTTGTGGCATGTATTTCCAAGAGCATTAGGACAAACAAAACCACATAGAACAGAGATTGTTCACTTATATCGAGAACAGAGACTAGGGCTCACGTCACACACGTGAAACAAAGAGATGTTCTTTTTTTTTTTTTTGCGGTACGCGGGCCACTCACTGTTGTGGCCTCTCCCATTGCGGAGCACAGGCTCTGGACATGCAGGCTCAGTGGCCACGGCTCACGGGCCCAGCCGCTCCGCGGCATGTGGGATCCTCCCGGGGCACGAACCCGTGTCCCCTGCATCGGCAGGTGGACTCTCAACCACTGCGCCACCAGGGAAGCCCAAAGAGATGTTCTTTACCTGAGGAGTGCTCCACTTGATCCTTGGCTGCTTTTCAATCTCAGTCTTAATTTAGTAGCCCTTACTGGCCCAGCGGTTGAGAATTGGGGCAAACAGCTCAGTTATTTAGCCGGCTTTGTTGGCCCTGGGTCAGTGAGTAACCCTGAGTTAACAGACAGAATGCGCCCCTTGTTGGATGCCAGAATTTGTTACCAAATTAAGTTGTATGGACCCTGCTCAGGCCCTAGCCGAGCCTATGCGCCCTGCCTCAGCGGGAGAGGGTTCTTTTTCCTGCTTGGGTTAAGCCTTATTCAGCGGTCAGAGATTGGAGAAGCAGGGACTAAGTTTACAGATCAACTTATCACCCACTTGGTGAGAGGGATTTAATTTTAAAGATAGGAGTGAGGCTAATGATGTGAGGCATATGCATTAGTCTACCTGGGAAGGGCCTGGCAGGGCTTTTTCGGGGAGTGGAGTGCCACCCCCTTTTTAATCCTTTTTTGGTCCTTAATGTCCAGCTACGGCAGCCAGTAGATGTGTCATTTAATATGCTAATTTAGAAAAATCAACATATAATGAGACCCAGGGTCTGTTGGAGGTCAGGTTTGTGGCCATCTCTTCCCAGCTAGTTCCATCTAGTTTTTTTTGTTGTTTCTTATCTTCTTTTTTTTTGTTTCTTCCTGTCTTATCTCTGGATCCGTTAACGTAAAGATTTATGTTAACTCCTACTAGAGGTGGAGGTTGCAGGGTTGTGAGCAAAGACCTGGAGCAGCTGTGACAACAAAATGACTCAATGCAGACATGAATGAGAAAGGTTCACAGGGTTGGGGGGAGAACGTTTTGGATTAGTTGGTTGAAAATCTGGCCCCTTCCAGCCACTTGCTGGACATGAGGCCAAGAGCCGGTCTCTCCATGGCTCATTCCCAGCAGCATGTTCTTTGGCAGAAGAACAAAACCTGGGTCTCCCTGGTGGCAGTCTTCCTTCATGCTTTGCGGATGCTGCATTGCCACTTCTGCTTACATTTCACTGAGGTTAGAGGCTGGTCCAAGGAGTAACTTGGCATTTTGTGGTTGTAGGTATGTCTGCGATTACACCTACTACCTGTCTTTGCATCATGGAAATGGATGCGCGGCGCTCGTCCATGTCCCTCCATTATCTCCTTCGCTTCCGGCTAGCCTGCTGGGAAAAGCCCTGCAAGTTATCATCCAGGAAATGCTGGAGGAGACTGAGAAAGCCAGGTCTCAACACCTGGTTCACAGGAAACTCAGCCTTTGCGATTCCAGACAGGGGGAACCTGCTTTGAGAGGCTTTAAAAAATTTGCTTGTAAAACAGTTTACACAGAGGAAAAAAGTTCTGAATTAGCCCAATGAAATCACAAAGGGTTATTTTATTGTCAGAAGAAAGAACACTCTGAAAGGCAGACATTTCACAAGGGCTTAACTAGCTTCAGTTATGGTTTTCCGGACAATAAAATGAAATGGTAGTAATTTTTTTTCCTCTTAAAAGTCTATGCAGCAGGCCTGTGTGATCCTGCCCAGATTTCTGGGACCCCAGACCTGTTCTGTGAGCCCCGTGTGGTCGGATGACCTGCGACTGGCCGACCATGGGAAACGCAGGTGCAGCTGCTACTCGGGCGCCCCACTCTGGGCCTCCAAGCTTGTGCATCCAGGTGCTGTGGGCAACTTCTGAGCCACTGAGTCTTTAGTGTTTGGTTTTTTCTTTTTTAACTTTATTGAAAAATTATTGTAAAATACACATAACATAAAATTTGCCATTTTAACCATTTTTAAGTGTTCAGTGGCATTATGTACATTCACTTGTGCAACCATCACCACCATTCCATCTCCAGAATTTTCTCATCATCCCAAACGGAAACTCTGTACCCATTAAACAGTGTCTCCACCCTTCTCCCCAACCCCGGCCCTTGGCATCTATTATTCTACCCTCCATCTCTGAATTTAACTACTCTAGGGACCTCATATAAATGGAATCCTTGTCCTTTTGTGACTGGCTTATTTCACTTAGCATAATGTCTTCAAGGTTCATCCATGTTGTGGCATGCATCAGAATTTCCTTCCTTTGAGGCTGAATAATATTCCATTGTATGTATAGACCACATTTTGTTTATCCATTCATTTTTTTGTTTTGTTTTGTTTTGTTTTTGTGGTACGCGGGCCTCTCACTGCTGTGGCCTCTCCCGTTGCGGAGCACAGGCTCCGGATGCGCAGGCTCAGCGGCCATGGCTCACGGGCCCAGCCGCTCCGCGGCATGTGGGATCTTCCCAGACCGGGGCACGAACCTGCGTCCCCTGCATCGGCAGGTAGACTCTCAATCACTGTGCCACCAGGGAAACCCCATTCATCTTTGGATGGACACTGGCTTGCTTTTACCTTTTGGTTATTTTGAATACTACTACTATGAACACTGGTGTGAAAATATCTGTTAGAATCCTGGTGTGTGTGTGTGTGTGTGTGTATGTGTGTGTACTGCTGGATCATAAGGTAATTCTATGTTTACTTTTTTGGAGGAGCTGCTATACTGCTTTCCATGGTAGCTGTATCACTTTACATTCCCCCAGTAGTGTTTGGTCCTAAAGCAAAGGTTAACAGCTGGGTTTAGCTTCTCTGCCATGGTCAGTGTTATCCCTACATTTTAAGAAACAGAACCTCCCCTTTTCATCTTTCATTTTGCCTTTATGACACGGTTCTAAGCTGTTCACAACAAGGTTTTACTTGTCCAGTGTTTTCTGGGGGCAAATTTCTATTGGGAACCCCATTAGCAACACTGTATTTTGGAGAAAGAGCTTGAAGGTGGCTAAGCTCTGGGAAATTTCTTCTTATGTTGGTATGCTCACAGCCATCATTTTCCACTTAATTCCATTAAAAAAAAATCATCGTCACTTAGTACCCAGGTTTATTCACTGTAAGAAAAAGCAGCTGCACCTTAATAACAAAGGAACTGGGCAAAGGAACTCACTTTACCATTAGCCCTCCAGCACACTTGTGCATTTGTAATAGTCTTTGCAGGACCCCTTTGCAAATGAAACCGGCTCACTTGCCATAAAAATCAAAGTCCTACTGTATCAGATCAAAGGCAGCAAGTGAGGTGGGATGGTCTGGCCAGCAAGCATAGGTCCTGCTGCACGGCTGTTAATGTGGAGAGGCTTCTGTAGTTGTAGGCAAATACCTGCTACCCAGAGCCCTGGACACCCCCTTATTTTAGCTTCTGTCTCAGGACGGTGGCAAGCAGGCGTCCTCTGGGACCTGGCTCCAGTGTTATTTCAGATTGTAAAATGCGTATGGCTTGGCACCAAGCAAACTCTTAGATGTCATCCAGTTGGAGGCCCAGAGCTCCCTCTTGATGACCATCCCTGTCATCTCCCCTCTGTGGCCGCCAAGGTTTTTTAGGGAGAACCCCAGAGGCCCAGTTCACATCCTGGGCTAAGTGGCCTGCCATTCCCCGCTGATACACACTGGGGTCTGTTTAGTTATAGCTGATACGCAGCAGTTCTGAGACAGTTTGAAAGCTGACACAGCTTCAAAAGGCTGAGCCCTGGGTGGGTCATTTAATAGCTGGGGGTCTTGGACATATCTGCGTGTTTGCTCATCTGTAAAACAGAGTAATAAAAATCCTTCCTTTGCAGAGTTGTTGTGAAGATCTGGTGGGAGAATGGATGTGAAAGTCCATCAGTGATGAGAAGAAACTTTACTGAATGAGGGCTTGTTGCTGGACCTGTGAGGGTAAATATGGAACTAGCCCTGCTGGATTGTGGCCTTAAGCAGTGGCATGGTGGGGAGAGGGTCTAACACTTCTAAAGACCCAGCACCTTCATCCTCAGAAGAAACTGCTGCTCCTCTGGCTGAGGACAGGTGCAGACTGTGCCTCCACATCCTGAAAGCACGGCATCACCCACCGGGGAAGGTGGGAATCCTGCTGGGCTCCTGTGTCCTCCCCACTAGAGCCCAGACACCCACCCAAGCCTCAGAAATAAGCCTGTTGTTAGTCATCGGTCATCTAGTAAGGGTCCCCTGAGTGCCAGGCACTCCATGACAACGGTAGGCAAAACCCAGGGGCAATGCCAAGCTTGAGAGTCCCATCTTTTTTGTTTTTAGGTCCAAGTATTTGAGACTCACCAGGTCTTTAGTAAGCATGGCCTTTCATTTACTTCTGCTGCCTACACCTTGCTAATTAGCGCTTTGTCCAGTAGCCTGATTTTATTACTGGAGTATAATTTCCCATGATCAAAGTTTAATGAATGATGAGCTTGTCTTCCTGATGTGTCTCAGGTTTGATTCTAGAACATGTACAGCTTGCTTCCTTAGAACATGTATTCACACTTCCTACCATAACCATTCCCCCTGGCAAAGATAACGATGCCCAGATTGTAGAGTCCCTGGGGCAGGCCAAGCTCGCTGGCTGGAAAGTAACTAACATTTCTGAGCAGTGCCAGGGAGCCACATCCTGTGTGCGTGTCTATGGCCTCACCTGCGCCCTCTGAGGAGGTGACCGACAAGGACATGAAAATGTGCAGAAAGTCCTTTGCCCCAGAGTCACCCAGATCAAACCTGCCCTGACTTATGTCAGCAGAAAAGTCTACACGTCATTCAAAAATCAAGTACAGATTTCTATATTTTATGTATTCAAATGTTCTTCTGGCTGATTTAATGGAGTGAGAAACAGAATAGCTTCCCTGCTCACCAGCAATTTGCATGCCGAGAAGGTTCAGCTGTCAGAAATAGAGCGAAGCCTTCATGCAGAACACCTCCCAGCGATATGTGTGAACACACATGCCACACGTAGCTCAGCTTCCCTGCTCAGAAGTGTGGTGATTCTTCCAGAAGGGGTGGAGGGTGGGGCAAAATCAGAGACCCAAAATGCATACGGAATTCTTTTATTTAACTTAAACCATGTAGTACTTTAACTACTAGAAAAAAGCAGAGTAAGAGAAACTAAAGTTGCCTTAGCTTCAGCCATTCAAAATAGACAGTTTCTTTTTTTTCCATAAAGAATCCAGAGTATATCGCAGTAACAGGAATAAATTCTTACAACAGAATATACAAAAAAACCTTTTGAAATTTTTTTCATCTACTGATTTTTTATATAAACAGAGGAATTTTTTTAGGAATAATTTATACACAGAAAGTCATTTTATGTAACAAATTGGCCATGTTATTACCTTTTTTTTTTTTACTTTTTTTTAAAAACTTTTTTTTTTATTTAAACAAGAAAACTCAGAAAATGCATTATTTGCGATGCATCCATTCCATCGCGCCTTCTGGTTTGATTTTTTTTTTTTTTTTTTTTTTCCGTTTGTTTTTTTTTTTTTTTTTTTTTTTTGTCCCAGAGGTAGACAAACTCTGGCAAACCTCTCACCTCAACCTCACTGGCTTAGAAAGCAGACAGGTGTTTTTGCCAAGCATCTACTCCACCTGTGGATGTGTCTGTGCAACGCCAAACATCCAAATGAAAAGTTGCAAACAAAACCCAAATTGTTTCTGGATCTTTCTCCCATGTAGAGCAAAACACCCAAATGTTGCCAATGATGGGGATTTTGTGGGGTTGTGTTGACATGGCCAATAACCCATTGGGAGCTAGAGGAAATGGAGTCAAACTTAAAAAAACCTGGTGTGTGTATAGTTTTTATTAAAAAGAATTTGTTTTGTACTGAAAAAAAAAATCTATGTTCGGTGTTCTGCCTTAAATAAAAATAAATAGGGTCTCTTCCTTGTTATAGCAAAGCATTAATCATGATATGAGGCATGTAAGCAAATGGCCTGCGTGCACCAGAATTACCATCTTTTGTGTGATAAGTCTGTATGCTGTGCTCACTGTGAAAACCATTAACTGCGCGATGGAGTCCTTCCATCTCAAGGCATTGTATAACAGTACAACTACCAAACCGACCCAACCAGGTGCCGAAGGTGCCATGGCACCACTGGGCTGCAACACCTCTGCTGTTTCCTTGGCCAGTGAGGTGCTTTCAGTCTGTTAAAGTAGCTACACTCCAAAGGGAAATGACCAGTAAAAGATGATCCCCTGCCCAACCAGAGGGTTCTGGAAGACCGAGATACTGAAGATACAGAGCTACTTCTTAAATCATCATCATTCCTTTGTTATAAACTAGGGCACAAAACATGGAGGGAAAGAGGGTGAACCACGGCCTGGGTCAGGGAAGAATCCTTTTTTGGCATATTGTAAAGCTAGCTAGTAAACAGGTGTCCTAAAAAAATGGATCACAAACACACATTTGCACACACAGAGAAAAAAAGTGTCTTTAAATTATTCTCAGCAATTATAAACTACAAACATTTTATAAAATTATTCTATGTTCTTACAAAAATGCAATGAAACATTTAATTAGTTCTTGTAAACCAGATCTTCGTCAACTGACTACCCGTAATCTACTGGACTTAAGAGCCCTATTGAAAACGCTAATGAGTGACTAATTACAACGATGTTTACCAGAAAGATGTGGACACACACAAACATGGACATACAGATAAGTGATCATTATGTTCTTGCAGAAACAAAATAAAACAAAACCCTAAAGTCATGCCCCAGAACTGACACCTGACAGGTGAGATGCAGTTTGCGTTCTTGGAACAATTTGACTGAACTCCACAGTAACAGTTTCCAAAGTAGGATGTTAGGTTTATCTGTTGAAACCAAATGCCCATGGATGACTGTTGAGCCTTGATGTGGTCTGATACCTTCAGAAACCATCAAGTTCCAAGCACAGCCCACACTTCTTCCAAGCCCTGTACCTTCTGCTCGTGCTTCCTCTCTCCACGTCATTCACGATCCCTGTTAGAATGGTTTCCTGCTGCCTTATCATTCCACCATCAAGGAGTGTTCATCTGCTTTTTCTCTAAATGACCAACTAGTCATCTAAGCTGGAGGCCAAAAACGAAACCCTCTGGCCTGTCCAAGGTCTGTATCTTCAGCATCTCTGGCAACAGAGGTTCAATCTAAACAACATCCTCTCTTGAAGTTCTCATTGGTACCACCAACTATGTCAGAGTGGAGTAAGAAAGTTTGATTTTCATCACTGGTTCTTAAAGAGTGGATCTCTGGTCCATATCTCCCAATGCTGCTTAGCCCAGGAAATGAAAAGACAGCCAACAAACACAAAAGTACCATTAACAAAAGAACAAACCCCAAACCTTAAATGCATTACTGGGACTGCTGGAATGGGCCAAGGCATACCATGGAGCTTTACTGTCAACTGGAGGGCGCCTGTGTTTTGAAAAGGAGTTGCCTTTGACACTGTCTGGCTGGAGGACCCAACAGTGACAGCTGAGGACCTTGGACCAAGCATCCTAGCCTTCTCACTGATCTAAGTGTGACCTTGCCATAACAGCGGCCTGCATCCCGTGCAGCCACCTGCCAGCAGAGGTGGGCTGCTGAGAAAGAGGTTTTGGTGGAACAAACTGGCCTAGAATTTGGCGTCATACTTGGCTCTTACATCTGTTATCCCAACTGAAACACACCACTTCATGCCAAGCATTTTGCCATTTAGTTCCACAATAACCATTTTTTCTATCATTGAAATGTTGTTCCAAGTCATAAGAAACAGGCTGGAAGGAAAGGCCAGTGTCGGCCATGAACACGGTCTTCTATCTTCCAAGGGGGAAGCACATTCCAACTGTGTCAAAAGTCAGGACATCCTCTAAGGGAGTCCTGGGGTGGTCTGGGTCTCACCCAGCTGAAGTTCAACAACGTCTCCAGAATACACCAGCTCCTGCTGCCTCAGGGAAGGGCTGTGTGTGATCATGTTTTAATGCTCACATCAGTTCAATGATGTGCCTCAGTGGTTCATGTCACTTCAAGCAGTGTGAGCTGCTGTCAGGAGGCTGCATGGAGAATGCCACAACTCAGCTTAAGCTATTTGGAGCATACAAAGGAGGAAACCAAGAAGAGGTGGGAAAATCAGCATAAAATTAGGCTAGAACTGTGGATAGATGATGCCTTGGTATAGTTAAGGTGGGTGGTTTGGTCCAGTAAAATGACTGCACCATCACACAAGCAAAATTTTCTTTTATTTAAGTGTTTCTGAAGCATTTGTTACGATGGGCACTATACTGTTAGTGTTTTCTTTCTACTTAAAAGGAAAACCACTTACATAAAACAAAAAGTGACACCAACAACTCGGACAGTTTAAACAAAACCCTTATAACCAGCTGAATGATCTGTAGAAATCCAGTTGTGGAAACCGGTAGGTATGTGCAAAAGAGAGGAGAGGCCACTATTCCAAGGGGTCACCTACAGTGTGGAAGCGGGAAACCCTGATCAAACATTATTTCTCAATGACCTTAAGATCCCCGGGGACTTGGGAAAGAGGAGGGGTGCTCTAGCAGGAGGGAAGAGCTCCTGAGTGTAACTGCAGTCCTGGGACCGTAAAGGAGCCACCACACTTTGGGAGACGCCCACTGCATTTCCCAGAAAAAACGCTAGTGCCTGTGAGAGCAGCTGCTGGAGGGGGTGCGCCGTCCACCCCGTGAACTGCGGGATGAGGGGGTGAGGCACAGCCCCAGCGGGGGCACGGCGCCCACCGCTGGCCCCTTCCAGCCCGAAGGTTTGGTACGTCTTTGTTTGTCCCTGGGGAGGAGGTGAGGGTGAGGTTGAGAGAACTGCCCGGAGAGGGAGAAGGGGGCTCTTCTCCGTACATTCCACGTGAGACTGGCCATCAGGTCAGGAACCCGGAGTGGGCTTTTGGCGCCCAAGCGGCTGCACGAGGGGCTGAGCCAGCCTAGCCGGAAGCCCAGCACCCACCCTACGGCCACAGGGACAACGGAGGCCCTAAGGAGATACCACCTGACCCCGGCCCCAGCACTGCCTGTCCTCAAGACCTGGAAACCACTGCTATTCCCTGTCTGCCACCCAATCTGCACCAAGTAGCTGGTTTCCAAGACAACTGGGCCGGGCCTCTCTCCACCTCTTGGGATACCGAGTCAGGAGAACAACAGAAGCGACGCAAAATGAGACGTCGCAGAAAAAGGCGAGCTGTTCGAAATGAGTGCAGAGGTGAGCTAGTGTTGCTTTGACCCCGGAATACAGCCTGGCCTCTCCCTGCGTCACCTGGTGTGTACGGCCTGTGGTGTGGATGAGGTTACCAGTATCAACGGCATATTGTCAGGTGCTGAGAAATGTGAGATGTATTCTTTTTATATATACACATATAAAAAATAAGAGTGAGGTAGATAAATGTTTGGAAAAAAAACCAACAAAAACCCAAAAACTGTCCCGTCTTACACACACGCACACACACACACACACACACACACACACACAAAAAAACCCTTTTCTCAGTATTTAAATTCATAAGGGGGCTTCTCTACAGTGATTGAAACTGGTATCACAAAATAAATTAAAAGAAAACTACATATAATACCTTCTTAATTAATTTTTTCTTTTTTTCATTTTTTTTAAGGGAAAAACTATGGGACAGAGACTAGAGAAAAGAGTGGGACGGAAACTACTGACAAGCAAAAAAGCACTACAAACTTTCTTTTTTGTGTTTAATCTCCAGTCACAACTAGCAATCATTATGTTGTAGCTTTGTTCTTACTCATAATTTAAACATTTCCATCCCAGAAGCAACTCTTGTGCTGTCATCACTCTGGTGAGACGTGCTAAAAACTAAACAAAACAAGACCCCCGGGCCCCGAGGATGCGGCTTCCTGGCCGAGGAACAGCGCGCCTGCGCCAGGGCTCCTGTCCCCTGGAGGGGAGCGCCGGGCTTCGGCCCCACGGCGCCTGTGCTGTCCCGTGCTGGCAGCGGGCTGGCTGGCACCCCGAGGATACTGCCCCTGCGCCCTACTCCCTGCCGGTGCCAGGGGGTCCCTGGGGAGACCCTAGTTCTAAGGACAGGGAGGTCGGTCTGGAGGGTGGTGGCGGGAAGCCGCAGACGGGCCCACTGGAGCGCGCTCGGCTGCACCCCTGGACTCAGCAGCTGTTTTCCATGGGATGGAAGGGTTAAATATCCATTAAAAACAAAATAGTAATCCAAATGCCTAGTGTCTGCAGTTAAAACTGCTGTTGTACCCAGGAAAGAGAAGGTGAGACTTTTCAACAATGATGAATATAAACACTGAACAAGGATGTGCGAAATATTTAACCTTTTTTTTCTGACCTGAGTTTGTATCATGTCTTGCACTGTAACAGACTCAAATGCTCTGTGAGAGCAGGCTGGGGAGAGAGGGTCCAGGGCAGGCGCCCGCCTTCTCTCCACCTGCTCCCCTCACCAGCCTTGTGCCCACAGAGCCTATGGGGTAGAAGAGAACTAATGGGGCAGGGGGAGTGGGGAGGGGTATGTATTTATAAAAAGGCATCAAACAGTTCATGGCAAATTATGTTATATAAGTATCAATTACTGGGAAAAGAGGAAGAAAGTCACGCACTCTAGTACAAAGCATAAGAAGTTTCTTGGAGTGAGCAGAGAGGGAAGAGGGTAGACCTGAAGGTTTTCATAGATTAAATCCACAAAGATAAAGAACAAAAAAAATAGCAGCTTTTTTTTTTTTTCTGTACAGACGTATAGATGAATATCTGAACCGTAAAAAAGTTATAAAAGTGACATTAAAGACGATGTGTATGCAAATGTTTCATGGTCTAACATAGAACTGTAAGACCCATGAAGAAGTCCTAGTAACAGAGAAAATGTCGACAAAGCTTAGAATGCTTGAATCCATTTACTGCTTTTCTTCGTACTGTTGTTGTGGTATTTGAATTTCTTTCCTTGCAAACTTGCATAAACAGTTGGGCTGAGTCCCTGGATACCCCTTCCCATCTGTGTTCTTGGGGGCCAGGTGGGGAGCTGGGGCGGGGACAGGAGACTGGCACGTGGACGACCTTTACTCAAAGCCTGTCTTCCAGGCTCCCGACAGGGCCTGTTTCCTCCAGAATTCCTGGGGGCTAGAAGGTGTGGGTGCAGAAGGGGGAGCGGGGAAGCCATCTTCACTGAGAGGAAGTCTCATTCTGTCCAGTTCCCCCAAATAATAACCTCGTCAAAAGCAATCAGACCTGTGTGAATGTGAGACTTGAAAAGAACACCAGGGGACGATCAGATGGAGGGCATCACCAGCGTGGCTCTTAACGAGTGACTAGCTACCATGCTCGCTCAGGCCTCTGGAAACAAAAGAACAGTGCGGGGACGGTGAGGGAGAAAGTTCGGGGTTTTGGCAGAATTTGGCAGCGTTAACATGGTAACAGCCTTGGATGAACGATGGCCCTTTGTAAATTTCGTATGTCCCTAAAAATGTTAAAGATACGGTTAAAAAATCCTGTCTCAATGTGTTTTATAAAGACCTATGGTGACCGGCAGGTGTGTTCGGGGGGCCATGTAGGGACAGACATTGCCTCAATCCAATACAAAGGGCGTCCCGGCTGGGCTTGCAGCAAATGTGTTTCCGTCATGAAGCAGAAAGAAAGAGAAAGGTGAGAGAGGGAGAGAGAGACAGGGAGAGAGAGGAGACTTGATTCTCAAGTGTTCTGTTGCTATTAAGTGTTGTCATTAAGGTTCTTAAAGGCCCATGTCAGTTAAGGGTTTGGGTAGGGAAATAAAAAGCTGCTTGCATATTGAAAAAAGGAACATCCCAAATGTGTTTACTGCAGAGAAGCCGTCTCCCGTGGGCAGCAATGGCAGTTCTGAAGATCCACTGAGGTACAGGAGGCTGTGAATAGATTGTTAAAACTCTCCCCCCCACCCGCCGCCGTGTGCGCACGTTACTGTTTGCACGGATCGGGATCCGGGATCAGCAGGTCGAGGACTGGGGCAGAGGCAAGGCCCGCTCCTTCTTGCGGCCCCCGTTCATGTGCGCATAAGGCTGTCTCTCGTCGAAGCTGGCTCGAAGGACCAGCACGCCAGGGCCCGGACCGTTCTCGGCCTTGTGTCCTGAGTGTCTGTCGGGCAGTGGCAGGGAGGACGAGGATGCCGAGGGGTCCAAGGGGACACTCTCCATGTTCTCCGGCTCTAGGTCCAGCTCCTCTGGCTCAGGTGGCTTGTTCTCCTCGCTGTAGTAGAAGGAGACCTCCCGGAAGCCGGGCTCCATCTCGTCCTTGATGCTGCTGATGATTTCCAGGAAGGAAGGCCTCATCTTGGGGTTGTACTGCCAGCACATGCGCATCAGTTCAAACCTGAGGGGAAGACAGACAGAGATGGGCCCAGCCTGGAAGGGGGCCGCGGCCGAGCAGCCCCGTGGCTACTTGCTGTGGCTTCCCCACCTACACGTGTACAGCAAGTGTGCCAAAGCAGTTCTGCTGCCTGTCTGGGCCTCTGGCTTTCTATCTTGATGGCGCAAGTAGCCTTCAGCTTCTCCTGACTTAACGTCCACCAGTGCAGTCACTTCATCCAGACCCAGGACCCTCCACGATACAAAACCCAAACTCTCACTTCCTGAGAAGGACAAATACAGGTTCCACACAGTTATTACAGGTATTACTTACATAAAAAGCAAACCAGCTTTCTATTTGAAGCATCTCTTACAGCCACTGATTAAACATTATTTCCAGAATTAGAATGGAAGAAACCTCTGGTTTCTCACTAATAAGGCTGAGCAGTGATCACAGCTTTCCCCACGGTGATCTCTCCTTCAGTTCCACCCATGCTATTTCTACTCTTCCTCCTGGTGGCAGGGGACCGCTGGCAGAGAACTGAGGACAGGCAGTGCCAGGCAGCATGGCTGCAAGACAGAAGGGGAGCACGACCCACGTCTGGCGCCAGGGCTCAGGCTGCTCACTGCATGCCCTGGGGCGGCAGAGTCGGCCTGGGAGCCTGGCTGCCCTGAACCCAATGAGAGGCCCACAGGGGCCCTGAGCCAGATGCCAACAAGCCAGCAGGGAGAGCCTGGTGGCAGAGTCCCTGCACAGGCCTGGGGCAGGCAGAGAGGGCACCTGGGCTGCAGCCCCTGGGAAGCCCTCAGAGTCACGTGGCCACAGGGAGCAACCCGGCATCGGGCCTGAGCCCCCAGAACAGGAGGCTGCACCGGAAAAGCAGGGTGCTGCCGGGACGGCCAGGAAAGGCCCAGGCTCTGACAAGGTTCAGAATGGCCGCAGGAGGAGGGGTGCTTCTTATTAACCTGGAATGCACAGTGGTCCAGCCAAGTAGACCGCTGGCGCACAAAGGACGTGGCTGAACAAAGGTCCAGGCTGGCCAGAGTGTGGAGAAGTTTCCGAGAAGGGACTGGCCAGCAGTCCTTTCTCAAGAAGACCAAAGTGCCTTCCCTTCCACTTCTGGTCTCGCTAGAAAATTCTATGTTTTGTTTTAAAACTTCTGGCTAATGAGAGAGTTTTCAATAAAAATGGCCAATGGAACTACCCACATCTAGGAAGCTCAAAGCACCCCAAACTGGCTTCTGGCCTCTGTCAGGCTGACACTTGACAGACACAGCAACTGCCTAAGTCTGGCCCCAGGGAAAGTTCCAAGGAGAGAAAGCCTGTGGGGACAGGAAAACTCTCATGTCGATCCGCCAGCTACCTTGAAGGATGTGGGAAAACGGTATCAGGTCAAGTCAGAGGGAAGAGGATGTGACCTTGAGGGACGGTGGGAATGGGAGAGAGGCCTGCTGCCTGCTTTTGTAAATCAAGTTTTATTGGAACAGAAACACTGTTTGTTTACATATGATCTATGGCTGCTTTCAAACCACAACTACGAGTTGAACAGTTGAGATGGTTTGGCCTACAAGCCCGAAAGATTTACCGTGTGGGCCTTTACAGAAAAAGCTTGTCACCCCTGCTCTAGCGGAAAAAGAATTAGACAAAACATGAAGACTGACTAGTTCTTTCCCCTCCCAACTGAATCACCTACACTAGGTCACGGCACTAACCACACGGTAGTTAATTAATGCTCTCGGTAGTGTTACGGGTGTAAATGGCTTTACTCTTCACGAGCCTGGGAAGGTGTGTATCATAATATAGCCCCATTTTATAGATGAGGAAGTGGAAGTACCAAGAGATCAAATAATTTGTCCAAGGTTCCCAAATGAGTGAGGGTGGTGCAGGGATGGAGTTCTCGTGCATGGTGTTTTTACACTTTGAACGCCACCGACCTCAGAAAGAGGAATTTTCTCTCAACCTAAGCAAGAGAAACCACAGTCCTGCCTGGAGGCTCTCCCTCTCCTGGCCGTCCACCGACAGTCACAGGTGTCGTGCGGGCTTTGCAGATAAACTGGCAGCCTGTCCTTGGGTCACATGGCAAACAAGCCTCCTTCCATATCCGCCCCCTCACCCCCCCACAAAGAAAAAAGGGCCATAAGTACATGAAATCCCTCTCCACGGCTCGGCTGCAATTTCCTCTCTGGCCGACTGACTTATCCCTGAATAGAAGCACAGCCAGGGCCAAGGACACGTGATGTGCCCTGGCTCCGTGCCCCTTGGCCTGGGGCTGAGAAGGTGCCACCAGCAGGGGAGGCATGTGAGTGACATCAGCACAAACAAACCATGTGACACCACTTTTAAACCATTCCAGAGTCACGGCCCTTCCACTGCTGCCCATAAAAGGAAGTCTTTTTACTCTGTGGGATTCAAGACCTTGTTTACACTATCTCCACAAGAAAACTTTCCAGTAGACTTTAGAAGGATTTATGAGCTGATAAAACTCCTCTTTAAAAAAGCATGTTTTTTACAACTGGTCAGCTCCAGGGAGCTGGAGTCGTCCTTTATTGAATGCCTGCATCGGAGGCGTGCGTGCATGCAGCCTTCACCTGGGGCAGGGGCAGGACCAGACGGAGCTGCTGCCCTGGTGTGACCCTGGAGGCCGGGTGATGGTCTCATCCGGCTCACTGTCCCCTCCCCATCCCCGGCCCTGCTGTGTGCGGGCAGGCTGCAAGCACGTGCCAAGTGGCCTAGGGCAGCCCAGCACCTAAGCGCTGGCACAGCCTCAGTCCAGGTGAGGACTGTCACGACAAAGAGCCCGCATTCCAGAGAGGACCTGCGGGGCTCATTTGCGCCCGTTCCTCCCCTCCTGGCAGCCCTGAACAGCCAGGACTGTCTTATGACCACTTCTCAGCCAGGAGGGGCAGTGGGACAGGGACCTGCCTGACCGCTCACCCCACGCTACTCTGTTTTGGGGCAGAGATCTAAGGCAGGGCCCGTGCACCAGGGAAAAGCCCACTGCAGGCTAACTGGGCATGAGTGCCATTCCTGACTGTTTGGATCCCACTCAAGCACTGGATTCCCACAAAACTGGCCCAGGATTCCCGACAACGTGGGGGCTTTAATCAGCAACAGGGAAAACCATCCAAAGTCTACTGAGTTTGTTTCAGACTCATCCGTGAGTTGATGACTCTCTGGGCTAAAAAGTTCAAATTCCTTTCTGAACACTGCACACTGAAGGCCTCCCTGGCAGAGGCTCTTGATGTGCCACACTGTCAAAGTCCCACCCGCAGAGAACGTGGTCCATGCTCAGCGCGCACCTCTGCTCCAGCCCGTGTCCCAGCATCAGAGTCCAGTCCTTCCAGTCACCGGACTTGCTGAGGGTGCAGACCACTCCCCACAGTCCCAGCTCTGGGCTGGAGCAGTCAGCACTCACTCAGAGGGGCTCAAGGACATTGGTGGTGTGAGTATGGAGACCTGTGTGCAAGAGAAGGTTAAGGACAAGCTTTGTTGTCAATTTAAAATACGGATCCACCATTGAACCACAAGCCGAATCTGTCTCATGCCACTTGCTGATCGATTCACACTGAATCTCAGGGTTGAGACCCATGGGCCTAGACACTCTGCAGCCTGGACCATGGTACCTTTCCTCTAAAGCTGTGCACCCTGTTCCATTGAGGGGATCAGGACTGTTGGCTACTTGGGAAGAGCCAGTTTCATCTGCTCCCGGGCATCGCCGGGGAATGATGCTGAGCTGAGGTCCACCATCAGCCACTGCATACCCGCCCCCTGTTACCCTATGGGTGCCATTCACACCTCTGGAACTGAAGCGCATGACCTCTATCCCACGTGGCGGCCCAGGATGGCTTTTAGGCAACTCCCGAGGGCTCAGTGACCCTCCTCTCCTCTGAGAGAAACAACAGTCCATTCTTTCATTTTTTGTAATAAAAGAACCCCTCTCCCAGAACACGTCTTCCTTACCTAAGCTCATCAATAAATTCACAAGGACAATACAGATACTCCTTATAAAACTGACTTGCCTCCTTTCACTTTGTTCTTTTCTTAGAAGGGGGAAAATTTGCTAAGGGGGTTCTAGATGGCGAGGCAGAAATGCCTCCTGAATTATACACTTAATATGCCAGAGTAACCGCTCCATGTAAATTTCCTTGTCACTACGCTGGGAACAGGAAGTATGCTGCCTTTCCCATGGCAGGGGGGTTGCTTCCCAGGCATATTAAATTAATATGAAAGCTCCAGTCACCTGGGTGCAGATCCAGTTCAAGAGTCCCACAAATTTCTCAGAGACAATGTTTATTCAAGTCAAAGAGAAAGCTCAAAAACAGCACCTCTCCTCCCACCACCCCCAAACCACACGGACAAAGCTCACACCTGCTTTCTTGGACTGTTTCTACGCTTGCTAAAACACCACCACTTCTAGTGTTAGACTCTCTTCTGGCACCGGACACGCTCAGGCCAATTCAGTGGGCATCACTCCTCAAAGTCTGTTACTTATATTTTTGCTCAGAAGGAAGGCTGTTCTTCTAATGGGCTGACATGAAGACACTGGCTGCACTGTTCAAAGTGGAGGGCAGTCACCTGTGAGGGGGGCAGTCATCAGTAGGGTGTGGTGGCTGGCCTCTGACACCCCCGTGGTCCTCACTTCCTGGTGTCCACGCCTCACATAATCTCCTTTCACATCAAATAAGGCTGTCCGTGTAGCCCATATGAGGCTGTGGACACCGTGGAGCGTTGACTTCCAGGCCACGAAGAACACTGTGGCTTCTGCTCTGCTGTGGGAGCAATTGCTCTAGGGTAGGGAAGGCAAGCTCTAGGCCCGCGGGACAAATCTGGCCAGCTGTCTAATTTTGTAAGGCCTATGCACTAAGGATGGCTTTTATGTTTGTAAATCGTTTAAAAAAAATCAAAGAAGAATAATATTTTGTGACAAAATGAAAGCTATGTGAAATTCAAATTTCAGTATCCAGAAATAAAGTTTTCTTGGAGCACGGCCACACTTGTTCCTGTGATGTCTCTGGCTGCTCTTGTACAACAGCAGAGTTGAGTAGCTGCAGTTGAGATCGTAGGGGCCAACAGAGCTGAAAATATTTACTATCTGTCCTTTTGGAGAAAAGGTTTTCTGAGCCCTGCTCTAGAAGAAGCCAGCTGCATGGCACGACGACACTCAAGCAGCATCACAGAGGAACTGAGGCCTCACGTGGCAACTGGTGGCATGAGTTCTGCATCTTGGAAGTGGATCCTGGTCAAGCCCTGGTCAAGCCTTCAGATGACTGCAGCCCTGGCTGCCAGCCAGACTGTGACCTCAGGAGACCCCTGGCCAGAGCCAGCCAGCTAAGCTGCTCCTGGATCCCTGACCTCCAGAAACTCTGTGAGATAATAAATGCTTATTGTTGTCTTAAACTGTTAGGTTTTGGGTAATGTTATACTGCAATAAAAAAAGGCTGACACAGGTGGAGAGAGGGAGAGTTTCCACCAGGGGCAAGAAAATGCACTAAGTGGCCATGTGCATCTCTTCCATTTTTGGGTCCTGAAGTCTGAAGAGGCTGTACTAGGGAGTCTGTTGGTGAGGGATCCAGGACGCCCACTGCCCCCTTATGCACAGCCCTCTGAGGGGTGGAGCTTCCTGTCATGCGTGGGTGTATCCTGTGCCCCACGTCCAGGACACATGCAGGTTTCCTAGTCCGGGCCCATGCTCAGATGATGAGTTGGTACCCCCCCCAACACACACACACACACACACACACACTCACACACACACGGACTCACACTCTCTCATACACACACACTCACACACCCACCCACACTCACACACACTCTCATACTCTCACACACTCATACACACACACACATGCTCACAGACACATACTCAGACTCACACTCTCATACACACTCACACTCTCATACACTCATAGACACACACACTCACACACATACACTCAGACACACATACACACACAGACGCTCTCACACACACTCATACACACTCTCACACACACTCATACACTCAAACACACACACAGACACTCTCACACACACACTCATACACACTCTCACACACACTCTCACACTCACACATACACACACACTCTGAGGCAAAGATGTTCCCTTTCCTGCAGCATTCTCTGGCCTCTTTCCTAATTCCATGCAAGCTGTCCCTGGGATAGAACAGGCTTTGGCTGAGCAAATGCTCAGAGGCAGCAGTTAAAGAGCAGGATACCCAGCTAACGTACCCCTGAAAAAGCAGCGCAGTCAGAGTCAGGAGAACAAGTTCCACCCCCACTCCCCACCCCCACCCTCTACCTGGAGCTTAGGGATTCAGTCTTGGAAGCTACACCAAAAGTGCTTTAAAAAAACCCCGAAAACCTTGGTTTATTGACAGGACAATGGTTTCTGCTTCCCAGGCTAAGGCGGTCAGATTCTAAGACAGTCCTCAAGATTCCCACCCCTGGTGTAAACGCCCTGTATGATCCCCTCACCTGCGTGGGAGGGACTTGTGAATGTGATGAGATTTCACTCCTCCATTTAGGTTTCTAATAATTGACTCTAAGTTAATCAGAAGGGAGATTATCCTGGGTGGATGTGACTTAATCAGGTAAAAAAAAAAAAAAAAGTCAAAAAGCAGCAGAGAGATTCTCTTGCTGGCCCTGAAGAACAAAGCTGCTTTGGGGGCTTCCCTGGTGGCGCAGTGGTTGAGAGTCCCCCTGCCGATGTAGGGGACACGGGTTCATGCCCCGGTCTGGGAAGATCCCACATGCTGCAGAGCGGCTAGACCCATGAACCATGGCCACTGGGCCTGCGCGTCCAGAGCCTGTGCTCCGCGACGGGAGAGGCCACAGCAGTGAGAGGGCTGCGTACCGCAAAAAACAAAACAAAACAAAACAAAACAAAACAAAACAACCCAGAAAGCTGCTTTGTTGTGAGAAGGCCAATGGAGGGGAAGTGTGGCAAGGACTGGGAGCTGAGAGCTAGCAAGATCCTGGGACCTCAGTCCTACAGCCACAAGGGGCTGACTCCTGCCAACAACCTGCAGGGGCCTGGGAGAGGGAGGCTCCTGAGCCTCAGATGTTCACAGCTCGGGCTGACATCTTGATCTCAACCTCATCAGACTGAGCAGAGGAGCCAGCACTCCCATTTCCTGATCCATGGAAACTTTGGGAGACCAAATGAACAGAGCTTTCCTGGCTGCTGGGGCTGATTTCCCTGGTACCCACTCGACGTGGCATCTGACTCACATCTGTAAATCACCCCACCATGACGGGGCCCTGCCCAAGTCAGTGCTCACTCAAGGCTGGTGCGCGGGTAGGTGGCAGATCTGGGTAGAGTGTTCCACACAGACACGGAGACAGCCCAACAGCTCCTCTGGGGCCCTTTCCAAGGTGAGGCCAAATCTGTTCTGAAAAGCACTTCTGGAAAATTCCTGCATTGGTCTTGAAGTATTAGTGGTAGCCTACCTTCTACCTATTGGGATCCAGAAGAATCTTGAGCCCTGCCTTAATGTGCATGTCGAAAGCAAGTCCACTGCTTTCTGTACCTGTCTGCACCTGACAACCCAACCACAGCACACCTGCACATCCTCACACCTGCACACCCTCACATTTTCAGCAGCTCTGACCTCCACTGACAGAGGGGCTTCTCCTAAGAACACTGAGCAGAGAGGCCCATGAGGCATCACGGACTGTTTCCCGTTATCTGACAGATCTCAGGAACAGAAAGCTACATGCCAGGGCTGAAGGCCCCCTGACCGCCTCTAGGTCGGCACAGCCGCTGGAGGAGGCTGCTGAGAGCCTGCCACTCACAGGCCTTTTATGACTTTTGTAAACACTTAACAGGAAAGAAACATGGGGGGACCGCAGGTGGTGGCAGCATCCTGGAACCGCCTGCAAAAGGAGGTCTGAGGTCACCCCCACAGGCCTGGAGGAGCCCTGCTGATGGCTGGGGAGCAGCCTGGGACTGTGGCTTAAGAGTAATCAGTGTCATGTTGCTGCATTTAAAAAAAAAACTCTGCCTGGAGCA